CCGCCCCGCAGGCCACGCCCTCCGTACGCGCGCCCGTGTGTATGTGCGCGCGCGTGCGTGTGTATCGGGACGTGCGTGTAGGGGCGTGAGTGAGCGCGCACGCGTGTGCATGTGCATGCGCGTGTTTAGGGGCGTGCGCGTGCGTGTAGGGGCGTGCGCGAGCGCGCGTGCGTGTAGGGGCGTGCCCGCGTGCGGCCAGGGACTCGGCCACCGAGATGTGAGGTTCCGCGCTGTGTGGCTTTGGGAATTAGTTCACATCCCTGTGCCTCAGTGTCTCACCCGTAAAACGGGACACTCGGACGACTTCCTAGGACTGTGGCGGAATTACTGAGTTAACGCAAAGCCTTAGAGAGTGCCAGGCGCGTCCTTAGCTCCGCAGTGTTGCCTTCGTCATCCCCGGCTCTAGCCCCGGGCCCTGCTCCGAGTGTCTGGGTCGGGACCGCAGTGGCGCCCACTGGCTGCACCCCCAGCACAGGAGTCGGCAGCCCCAGCCCCTCCCACACCCCCTCCGGGCGTCTGCAGTGGGAGCTCGGGCCGGCCACTGGAGGCGAGATTGTGGTAGCTGCTGCACTACAGTGGGCGACACCGCCACCTCCCTGCGTGGGGGTCCAGAGCCTCTGCCTGCCGGCTGGGTCCGGGGCTGTGGCGGGACTGCCACTCCATAGTGCTTGCTGTCCACCTGCCTGGAACCACCTGGGAAGCTTTGTGAAATATCCGGAAAATACCCAGTTCCCCTGCCCCCTTCTGTTTCTTCTGGTTGGAGTGCCCTTCCTCCTCCTTCTTAGGACATTTCCTTCCCCTTGTCAGCTCTCAGAATAAGAAGCCGTCCCTGAGGGGGTGTTCAACCACTGCCCCCACCGCCCCCACACATGCTATTTCCCTTCCGGTTTCCTGTGGTTTGATTGTCCTCCTGGGTGACTGATCACCATGTACCCCTCGTGCAGAAGATTGTGTTGGGCACTTAGTAAGTGATCAGTAAACGTGACTGGATGGATAGACAAGTGACTGGATGACAAATACCCCCCCTAACCCCCCCAACACACAAGGGGTTCTGGGAAGGTGGAGGGCTGCACGTGGGTGGGCACGAATTTGCAGTGGCTTCAGGCTTTGAGGAGGTGGCACTTTCTCCAGGTGATGCCCAGGTGCAAATGTGGGCGAAGCAGACAGGTGGATTCATGCAGGCGGGTGCCTGGAACTGGGAAATATGGAAGGAGTGGGAGAGAGAGCAGGGCCCGAGGCACAGGGGCAGGAGGCGGCGGGAGAGCAGGGATGCAGTGGGCACTGGGAGTCCCCCAGGCCGTGAGGCTATGAGAGGTCAGAGAGTGGACACTGAGGTACATTACCTTGGGAGTGTGGCCTGGAGGTGAGTGGTCATGGGGCAGTGACACATGGGGGAGCAGAGGGCAGTGGACTTTGAAGCCCTAGGAGGATTCGGTCCTGTAGAATTCAGTAGGCAGGGGACGTGGCCAGGAGGCAGAAAGACAGAGGCCTGAGGTGGACGGTGTGGCCACGGGGAGTGGGTTCCATGGGGCAGGGGGTGGAAAAGGGATTATGGAGGCTCCAAGGAGGGAGAGAACTCCATGAATGATCCCCTGCCCTCCCAGGAGCGAGCCCACCTACAACCACAGTGGAAACGGGGCTCCTGTGCCTGGGTGGAGACCAGCATCTGTTGTCCCTAATATTGGGCCTCAAGGCCAGCTTAACATCAGCACAGCCAGGTTAAGCAACTTGCCCCCTGCTCTTCCTCCCCTTTCCCTTTTCTGCTCTAGGAACTGGTCAGCGAAATTCCTCTCCTGGGAAGGGGCAACATGACCGTTATCATCAAAGGAACGTCGTGGGGGCCGTGTTAGCCGCTTGGGGCTGCAACACTTTGTACTGACATAGGGGCAACACTAAGTAGAAGCTATGCCCTAACCAACCAGACGTTAGCAGTCCACAAGGGCTGTGTCACCATGTGATCACTGATTTCAAAATTGCCCATTACTCTGCCAGAACCCTCAAAGGCTTATAAACCCCCCTGCTTTCCTTTGTTCAGGGGAACTGATCTGACTCAGTCTCCCCTCCACGTTGGTAGGATAAAGCCTCTTGGTTGAAATAGCACCTTGGCTTGGGTCTCTCTCTCCCTTTTCTCCGTCTCGCCGAACCTAACACCTAAAGCCCGTGCCCTTCCCTAACTCATTAGACCCCTTCACTGCTTTGGGCTGTTAAGGAAAGAAATATCTAAACTGTGTGCTCTAGGGCTGGCAGCCACATTCCTCCCAGCAGAGGACCCACGACAAGCCAGGAAGGAAAAGGTTGGGGGAAGGGCCCTCTTGCCACGGAGTAGAGTCCGCAGGGCATCCTCCAGTCAGTGGCTGGTTCTCTCTGGGCACTGGTGTGGGAAGCCCCTCACCTGTCCTGCGCACACTCACTGTTTCCTTGCCTGCAAAAGGCAGCTCTCTCCTGGGTGGGGGTTGTCTGCTCAGGGACAGAAGGAGCAAGGCTTATTGGACAGTAGATGCCTTGGGCAGACCCAGAACTCATTGGTACTCTTCCTCCCCTTTCCCTTTTCTGCTCTAGGAACTGGTCAGCGAAATTCCTCTCCTGGGAAGGGGCAACATGACCGTTATCATCAAAGGAACGTCGTGGGGGCCGTGTTAGCCGCTTGGGGCTGCAACACTTTGTACTGACATAGGGGCAACACTAAGTAGAAGCTATGCCCTAACCAACCAGACGTTAGCAGTCCACAAGGGCTGTGTCACCATGTGATCACTGATTTCAAAATTGCCCATTACTCTGCCAGAACCCTCAAAGGCTTATAAACCCCCCTGCTTTCCTTTGTTCAGGGGAACTGATCTGACTCNTCCCACTGCAAGAGACCCTGTACTAGTTAGCATTCTCCAGAGAAACAGAATGAACAGGATGCATGTATATATACAAATTAAGAGAGATTTATTTTAAGGAATTGGCTTACACAGTTGTGGAGGCTGGCAAAGTCCAATATCTGCAGGGTAGACCGGCAGGCTGGAGTCCCAGGAAAAAGTGGCAGTTTGAGTCTGAAGGCTGCCTCCTGGCAGATTTCCCTCTTTCTCCAGGGAAGTCAGTCTTTTTCTACACAGGCCTTCCATTGATTGAATGAGGCCCACCACAGTGTGGAAGACAACCTGTATTTGCAACCAAACAGGGCCTGTTGCCTGATGCACAGCAAGCCAGTCACTGACACCGGTCTTTGCAGCAGAGAAAAATGTTTATTTGCAAGGCAGCCAAGCAAGAAGACAGGAGAAATAAATCTCAAATCCACCTTCTCCACACGAGAAGTAAGGGATATTTATGGGGGAGTAGTTATGGGTGGCGCGAGGCACGGGGGAGCATGACTGGGTAAAGGGTGTGAGGAGTTCTTCAGTGATCTGCACGAGCGCAAGCCATCTGCATGCCTCTTTGTGGGTCATGTGTTCAAAACTGGTGGCATTAGCATGATCTGGAGGTGGAGTTTTCAGCCCTCTGATGTCAAAAGGTCACCCGTCAGACATTCCTGCAGGCTCAGTAGAGAGGTCTGCAGGCTCAACCACTTTAGCCCAGTTTGTGCTGGGCCACGCTGACTCCAAGCCTCCTGCAAAACACCCATGGCACACAGTCTGTGACTTCTGAGCCAGAGGCGTTATCTTAAAAGGCAGACAGGAAGAAACAGAGTGAGAGGTTAGTTATGGAAGTTTACCGAAAGAACAAGCAATTTCTTTTTTTTTTTTTTTTAAAGATGACCGGTAAGGGGATTTTAACCCTTGAATTGGTGTTGTCAGCACCAAGCTCAGCCAGTGAGCGAACCAGCCATCCCTATATGGGATCCGAACCTGTGGCCTTGGTGTTATCAGCACCGCACTCTCCCGAGTGAGCCACAGGCCGGCCCGAACAAGTAATTTCAATAGGATAAATTTTAACCAAAAAATCACCGGTTGCACTTTACTCAGAGTCTACTGATTTAAATGTCAATCTCATCCAAAAAACACCTTCACAGCAACATCTAGAATAATATTTGACCAAGTATCTGGATCCTGCAGTCTAGCCAAGTTGGCACATAAAATTAACCATCAAAGACCCCAAGACAAAATCAAGAGGAGTGTGTTTTTAGGAACAGCCAGAAAGCAAAGGGCAGACAGGAGGACAGCAGGAAGGTGACTGTAGGAAGCAGCGGTGCACCCCGTGGGGAAGCCACCAGTATCGACTTGTGGCTGTCGGCTCCCCGTGCCACGCCCCCAGGGGCGATGTCTCATGCTCAGCGGGGTAGGAGCTCAACACTGTCAGACACTGACTTGCATCAATAGTGCGTGACTACTCCGGGGTCATGGCCCATGCCTGTAAATGAGGTTACTCTAAAGTTTAGGGTCTCAGAATTATTTAATTTAACCCCCTGTGACTTGTGGGCTCCTTCTGTGGTCTGTTTGTACCTTTTAATTTTAAATTGCTCTATTAAAAGACTCATTTCATTTTTTTAAAACACCAGCACAAAGGATACAAATCCAAATGTCCCAAGTTTAGTAAGGAGCGATTTCAGTCTTGTTCGTGTTCCCACGGGGTGACACCATATGAATTTGGGAAACAGGTACTTTCAGCCCCACGGCTCCTGAAATCTGCTGATACTCAGGAACTCGGTCAGTTAGCGAGAAAAACATCTCTGGAACAATCCAGACTTTAAATTTGGGTGTGACTGGCAACCTGCTCCTGGAGACAAGAGCTTTCAAATACTTGAGCAGAAGACCCCTCGCACTTTGGCTTCTGAGTAAATTCGGCCCTTGGGGGGGTGGCAGACAGGGTGGGAGGCGAGGCCCGGGTTCCTCTGTTCCTGCCACCTCGGCTTTGGAGGGGTGCTTGGCTGTGGCTTGACTCCTCCAAGTTCTCAGTGCGTGAAGAGCAGGCCCACCATAGTTGTAGATTTCCCCGGGGGACCCTGACCCTCTGGGGTCCAGTGACATCACTTCCTCGCTTGTCCCTCCAGGCCTGGGGGTGGCGGTGGCTTGCTAGGGTTGCTAATCCTGGGGCTGTCTCCCCCTGAGTGGCTTTTCCAGCTCCTGCGGAGCCAATTCCCTGGACTGAATGTGTCCTACTCAAAAGACCCAGAGTGGTTTCTCTTTTGGCATGGAATCCTGACTGACACGTCTCTTTCCAGAAAGGGTTTTTCAGGTGGCTTGTGAAGCTGCTATGAGGAACCCTTGAGACTGCCTGAGAGGTGGGAATAGGGCCACCCAGATGGACACACCCGGTGTGACCCGCAGGATAGAAAACCTGCAAGGCTGGCACCCCAGCCCACAACCGCTCGCTGCCACATCCCCAGTGACGAGCAGCAGAGTCCCCTCCCTCACTGTCTCCAAGTGATTTTCTTAATAAATAATACAGTTTAGTTTTTGTTCTCATGATGAACATAATAGATGTCCTGTACAGAAAAGCAAACAAGAGAGAGCAAACAGTGCTCCCACTTGGAGCACCCTGAATCAGTTCCTCAGAACTCTGTCACCCTGAGTGGTGCCCGACACAGCAGCACGCCGGGCACACTGCCTGATCCACCTGACACCGCTTCCCTGGCATTGATGCTGCTCTGCAACGTTTTTAAATTAAAAACAATCAGGTTGATGCTCATCGAGTCTGGCTCACAGGCTGCTGGGGGGTCCCCAAGCTGAGGCGTGCCAAGGACCCTGCCCAGTGCCTGGCACAGCAAACATCCAGGAATCGGTGGCTGCTGCTTTCAGCTGAGACACGAGGCTCCCTGGAGTCAGGGGTGAGGGGCTCACCCAGGGCCAAGGACCCCAACCTGACTTCTACACAAGGAGGGCTCTGGGCACTCTGGAAATGCCCTGGGCTGGGGAGTCAGGCCTGGCTGGGGCTTTAGTCCCGTGCGTCCTTCTCACTGTGTGGCTCTGGCTGGGTCACTGCATGTCTCTGAGCCTGTGGTCTCAGTTGTGAAGCACAGACAATAATGTCTGAGAATTGTATGAGAGTTTGTGTGAAGTGCTTGGCACCCAGTAGGCGCCTAGGAAAGGTTTGCTGAGTGAGGGTGAAGGAGTAACCAGCAGTCACCATTGCTCGTGGAGTGTCCACGGTGGCCCGGGCACACGCCCCTGCAGCCTCTGACCTTGCGCCTGGGAGGGTTGCACTGGCTTCTGAGGGGAGCCCACTCGGTGGAGGCAGGGGGGTCCTGGCCTTCAGGGCCAGGGCCTCGGGGAGAAGGCCTGGGGCAGCTGCTTCCTGAGGAGGGTAGAGAAGGGGCAGGAGGGTGTTGACCTGTACCGAGCACCTGCTGTGAGTCAGCTGCCCTATCAGGTGCTTTCCAGACATGCTCTTGTTTCACCCTCATGGCAGCCCCATGAGACAGGTAGAATCAACCCCACTTTACAGGTGATGAGACTGAGGCCCAGCTAGGCAACGTGACTTGCTCAGGTCACTTAGCAGGTGGGCTGAGGAGCCTGTCAGCAGGGGAGGCAGTGAATGCGCTTGGCAGGTCTGAGGCCCTTAGAGCCAGGCTCAGTAGGGGTCCGAGCAAGGGAATGAATGAATGAATGAATGAATGAATCTGCCAGATGCCTTAGCTTATGCCCAGCCCACCCTGTCCTGCCCCTGTGGCCCAGAGAAAGGCCAAGGGTGCAAATGATCAGGGACTTTTCACCAAATCCTCCGAAGGGAACAGCAGAGGCACTGCTGCCAGACGGGGCCAGCGGAGGCGGGTACAGGGAAGCAGGGCCTGGCCCCCACCCCCCCAGGTCCCGGCCAGAGGGAGACAGGGAGGAGTCCCGAGCTGAGGGGCAGTGCCCTGGGCCATCCCCGGCTCTGTCCAGGCCTCAGCCCTCCCCTGCAGCACGGCAGGCAGTGCGGGCAGTGGGGCAGCCAAAGCTGGAGGCCCCGGCGGAGGATGGTGGAGGCTGGGGGGTCTGGAGGGCAGGTGGACTAGGCCTCCCTCCTGTCCTGGAGTCTGGGCGATGGCTCTTGGCCTCCTTCAGAGGGGGACGGGGCACTTGGAATGGCAACAATTCCAGGCCCGCACACGTGGATTGATTTATTTCGTCCTCACAGTCACTTGGGCATGTGTTGCTACTACACACCCTGCTTCATAGATGGGAATACAGAGGCACAGAGAGGGTAAGGCACTAACCCGAGGCCGCACAGATAAGAGACAGGACCGGGACTTGAACCCAGCCTCACACTTTAGGCTTCAGCGCCTCTGTGCCAGGTGTGGAGCTGAGTGCGTCACCGCAGCATCTCACTTACCCATCAGTGCCCCTGCTGCTGTCATTGGCCCCATTTTCACATGACACTGAGACCCAGAGAGGTAAAGTGATTGCCTCTTGAAGCGACCGCCCTGTGAGCAAGAGACGGGACAAGAGCCAGGCCTGTCTGACCCGGAGACGTGAGCTTGGCCACGCCAGGAACTTCAGAACCTCGTGGCCTTCCCACCACGTCACAGAGCCCCCTCCACACCAGAGCTGCCTCCCAGAACGACTCCTAGTGGCACCCCACCAGAGGGTCCCCCATTTATCCCGGGCTTTCCTCAACAAGGACATAAGTCCCAGGCCCCACTGAGCGTCTGGAGTGTGGAGGAGCAGCGGGAGGATCCGCTCCCAGGGAGAGGAGGGGCCCGCCCTGCTGCCCCCAAGGTGCAGAGCCCTCCCAGACTGGGGGACTTCACTCGCAGGACAGGTTAGGTTCCCTGTCTCAGGAGGACAGGCCTCTTTGAAGACCTTCTCCCAGGCTGTTCCTAAATTCCTGACAAGTTCAACCCCTTGGGGGAATCCCCTCACAGCCCCCCTGGCCAGGGAGGGGACCCTCAGGATCCTTTAGCACCTTTCCACCCACCAGTACCTCCCCAGATGGGTCCCTGATTTGCTGTGTGGCCTTAGACCACTGGCCGCCCCTCTCTGGGCCTTATTCCTGGCTGACGGCTACAGGCTCAGCCCCAGCTCAGCCCCTCCTGGCACCCGCTCTGCCTTGGCTTCTGCCTGGCTCAGTTCCAGAAAGCAGCAGGGCACAGCTGTCACATGTTGAGCCACGTGACAGGCGGCGGCTGGGGGCTCCAGTCCACACAGAACGGGGGCCTCTGCAGCCCATTACCCCTCCCTCTAAGGGCTGCCAGAGCGGGCGTGGACCGGGAGACCTCCCTGCTGTCCCAGGTAGGCAGGGGAGCTGGGAGGTGCGGGTAGTGACGAGCCTCTCCCAGAGGTCCCGGGCCAGGAGCCCAGGCAGACCCAGGGCACCAGTGCAGAGGGGCTACAGCATCCACGGCACAAAGGATATCCCTCCCTGCACCCCTGTAGCCCAATCAGCTGCCTGTCTGACACCAGCAGCTGCTCGGGAATCACCCCTCTCTGTCCTGATTCTGATGGGTATATCCAGGGTGGGGCCAGGGGCAAGGCAGGGGACAGGCCCCCTGGCACAACTCCTGCTCCTGACCAGCAGCAGGACCACAGGAACCACCATGGTGACACTTGGTTGTCCTAGACTGCTGTCCTAGAGAGTGAAGGGCAGTGCTTGTCCCCGGGAGGTGGACGGGACCTCCAGGGATGGACACAGCCCCAGTTCCAGAGCAAAAAGTGCCATGCATGCCCCGTGTGGTCAAGTCCCATCCTTGCTCTGGGTCCCCACTTCCTCATTTGTAAAATGTCAAGTTTTGGGGGTGATGGGCTCTGGGACCTCCAGGGATGGACACAGCCCCAGTTCCAGAGCAAAAAGTGCCATGCATGCCCCGTGTGGTCAAGTCCCGTCCTTGCTCTGGGTCCCCACTTCCTCATTTGTAAAATGTCAAGTTTTGGGGGTGATGGGCTCTGTGAATGGGGTGCTCTGTGGGGTGGTGTTGAGGGACACAGATACACAGGGAAACAGAACAGGCAGAGGACATGGTCTGTGAACTGTATTTCTGGACTCCAGCCATCTTTGGGTCTGCCCTCTTCATTTTGCAGATGGGGAAACTGAGGCTGGGATTTGCGGGGAACAAGGCCTTCCTTGCCATTTCAGGCCACTCTCCCCCACCGCCCACCATGATTCCCAGAGCCACTGCCCTGGGCTCTGCTTCTCCTGGGGCTGAGCCCCTCGGCTCAGAGCTCCGACCGGCCGTGTGGCTCTGGCCTGGTGCCAGCCCTGTCTGGGTCCTGGCTGCTTCTCTGTGGCCTGAGAGAGGATCCAGAGGCCCCGGAGGGAGGTGGTAGTGAAACCTGGGCCTGTAGCCTCCAGCTGGCCCAGAGCCAAGGCCAGGCACGGGGCCAGGGCGGCCCCACCCTGGGGCCGGCCCAGTGTTGGACGTTTGGCAAGGGCAGGCGACACGGCCGGGTGGAGGGACAGCAGCAGGAAGCGCAGCGTGGCCGGGCCTCAGGTACCATAGCCGGGAGGCTGGGGCTGCAGCGGGCGAGCGTTGGGGCCGGGATCCCGCTCAGCACCTCGGGGCTGCGGGTCGCACAGGCAGGTCTGGCTGCTGGCGCTACGCACACAGGCGGCCTTATCCTTGCTGAACTTGTCGCCTGCCCCGGAGAAAGAGGAAGCAGCGGAGGGAGGGCCAAGGAGACGAGTGGGGCGACTGGGGCCCCCACTTTGCCCGAGCGGGGCTTCCGAGGCCTCCTCTTACTGGGGTTACTGGACATCCTTTAAGGGGACCCAGCTGCCCCAGGAAGGAATGCACTTCCCATCCCTGCAGGGGCCAAGTATCTCTTCAGGAAACAGCTATTTCCTGAGTGCCACCATGCACGCCCCATGCTGGCACAGGCATAGTGACCCCGGGAGAGATTCGTTCTTCGTGATGGACTTTGTCAGGGTCCAGGGAAGGAGGGACTAGCCAGCCCTGCCCTGCCTCGAGGAGGTATTATCATCAGAGGGACTTTGCTGGGGTCGGGGAGCCCTCGCAGCGTGGGGTGGGGCTGGGGGGTCAGCTCGGGCCATGAGCACAGGGACACCTTGGGCCCCAGCTGCCCAAGGACCCCATAGAAGGGAGGAGGCCTCTGCCCAGAGCTTTAGGAAACCTCATGAAAATCTGGGTTGAGACTGTCAAAAGATAAAATTATAGCAAGTTTAGTCATAGATCTAACTGGCTTTTATTTGTGATTCATGAGTCGGAGCAGCCCCCGTTCTACAAAAGAGTGCGAGCTTCCAGAGGGCACCGAGCAGCAACAAGGGAAGGGAACAGTGGGAAAAACGCTGACTGGGCATCATCAGATCACTTTTCGTGAGGGTTAAAGCAGGGGGGACCTCCTTATTACACTGGCTCAGGTAGACTGGACTCTCCTGTTTTCAGGAAAAACTGGTCTGTTTTGGGATCTATCCACTTCTTGAAAGTTTCAGTTTCATTATGTGGCACTTAGCATGAATGACTCCATTTTGGTTTGGTCTGGTCTGTTGGGACTTAGTGCAGGAGCTCAGTCCAAAACAATGGGCTCCCATAACCTTTGTTTAACAACCTTAAATGGCAGGTGAGAATTGGTGACACTGTGGTATGGGGGCCTGTGGGGACTTTGAGGCTGACCCAAGTGACCCCGACCCCTGGCAGCCCTGATGTGGGTCCCCCAGGCCCTCAGACCACCATGTTCACTCACCTCTGCCCCCACCTGGGTCTCAGGTTGATGTCCTGTCCTCCCGTGGCACCCACGTCAAGATCCCCTCAGGCCAAGGGGTCTCCTCCACCAACCTCCCTCTGGCACATCTGTTTTTCACAGTCTGTGTGAATAATGATCACTCAGAGCCACCGTTACTAAGCGCTTCTGGGGCTCACGCCTGCGCCGTCTTTACGAAGCTTTATGTGTGAATTCTTCCAACAGTGCTGTGAGGTGGCTGCAAGGACACCCCCATTTTACAGATGGGAAAAGTGAGGCACGGAGAGGCTGAGCGACCCCAAGTTCTCACAGCTAACAAACATGGCTGCGATTTGAGCCAGGTCGTTGGGCACCCCTACCATGCCACACAGGGAGGGTGCTCCTAGAAGGCCCGTCGTACAATGAGGAAATTGAGGCAGAAAGAATGAGAGAATAGCCCGGCTTTCCTCCCCCAGGAATCCAGCCCACTTGACAGGCTGGGGGTGGGAGACGAGCAGGGATCTGCCCCATGGCAGAATCCACCATCAGAACCTTGCCACGGGGTCCGGGGGTAGGGGGCAGGGGCTTGGGCAGTGGTCAATTCCCCACAGTGCCGACCCCATTCCTTTCCCTCCTCTATTCACATGACCTCTCTAGAGCGCCATGCCAAACCCACATCAAGCACCCATGGTGGCACACAGCCTGGCATAGCAGCGCCTGTTATTATTTTTAGAGGAAACCACAGGCCCATGGCCTTGAGGAGTAGAACTCGACATCCTTAGGAACTTGCACGGTGGGAGATGTACCAGGGGAGGTGGGCTCGGGGGGCCTCAGCGCAGCCATGCTTGGATGCAGAAATGCCCTGCTTTGTGCGTCT